CGTAGTTTTAGAAACTACAACACGACCAACAAAATGCTCGCCAGCACCATTTGTGCATTTGATTCGCTCACCATTGAGCCTCCACTCTTTCGACTGGAAATCTAAATTTCCATCTGTGGGTACCAGGAAATCCATGCCCAGAATACCACAGTATTTCATGTCAACAAACACTGCCCTGACTTGGTGCGTGGTTCGACCCACTTGTACCTCTACCCAAGCTATACCCAACACGGCTAGCTGAATACCGTCAACTTGCTTTACCTGAACATCTTCCGTCTGTAAGACGGGTCTCTTCTCCTTAGGAATTTGGTAGTACACCGTACTATTTATCAAAGTATCGGTGGACCCCGTGTCGATCAAAAATCGACACTTTGTCGTCCTTACCATCCCATCAACAAACAAACCATAACGAGCTCCACTACTGGGATTAGGCAGAGTTATGACTCGTTGCCCATCCCCAGGCTTTGACCTTTTCTCTCCACCACCACCCTTGCTGTCACTGTGTTCTCTCTTGAACCCTTTTAACCTCTCAGCCCTCCCACGGGTTCTACGGGGGCTGACTGACGTTTCCCTGCTTTGGAGTTTCCTTGCACTCCCGGGCAAAGTGCCCTTTGTCACCACATCTGAAACACTGCAAGGAGCCAGATTCAGGCTTCCCGGGCTTGTGAGTCTGGGGAGACAACACGCCCTTACGCTGACCTTGACCTTTAATCTGACCCGACAAAGACTTCACCAATTCAGCCACAGAGTCCAAAGTTTTGGCCTGCTTATTGAGACTTTCTTCGAGAGTGTCCAGCCTCTGTTCAGTTACTGAGCCCAAAGCTCTCGCCAATTTAGCGGGCTTCCGGTCCAGCAATCTGTGCTGTTCCACCTTCTCGAAATTCTAAGTCTCCAGGGCAGCCTGGACTGCTTCATCCAAAGTTTTTGGACGAGCCCTATTGATGCCCTCCCTAACTGAATGACTGTCAACAGCATCTATGAAGTGGTTCTTAGCCAACCTCTCACGAGCATCTTCCTGCAACTCAGGGCATGCTCTCGCTGTCAATTCGTGAATCGCTTGCCCTCATTCAAGCAAAGTCTCCTTCGGCTTTTGACGCCGATGTCTCAGTTCGACAAGATAATTTTCACTCTGTCGAGCTGACCCAAACCTGCGCTCCAGCAACTTTACAAGCGCACTATACGTGTACTTGTGGCCAGAGTCACCGAATAACCGTAGAGCGTCTCCCTGCAAGCTTGCGGCTAACCACCTCGCAGCCTGCTCCTCGCTCCACATATTCACCTCACGACACGACTCAAAATGGCGGAAGTACTCTTCCCAGAGCACCTTTCCGCTGTACCGATCAGGGGTTATGTTTGGCCTGCGATTTGGTCGCTCCAAACTACCCATCTGACCCACATCACCATGGACCCGTGCCTCTCTTTTCAGTGGCCACAGACCTACCGACGAGATGTCAACTTGAGCTGAACTGTTGTTCTTCGCCTCGACTGGTCGAGTTGCAAAACTTAACAATTCGTTCTTCACCTGTTTAGGGGTTACCATCCCCCTGGCACCAACGAACGGGTTGGTACTCGCCAAACCCCGTTCCACTCCACCTTCAGGGATGAACGACATCAGATCACCATTTGGATCATCTGTCTTCCTGGCAACAGGCGTCGACTGCGCACGGGGGAATATCCCTGAGCTTTGTCCTTTCTGAGGTGTACTTTCCATGAAAGTCACCTCCTTCCCCACTTTAGGGGCTAACTCAGGCACCATATTTGCGCCTGAAACTCTCCCAGTTGCTCCAGAGACATACCCGGAAGTCTCTTCGGGCAACCTGAGCTCAACATCGGAATCAACCCGATGGAGCACACGCCGGCTTCCACCTGGCGTGTCCATGTTTCCTTCCTTCGGGGAAACACCCGACTGCAACTCCATCAACTTCTTTGCAATGAGGTCATTTTCCCATTGCGGAATTTGGGCTTCCAAACGCAGTCTTTGCACCTCGGCCTCAGCACTTGAGGTGCCCACTCGACCCTTCGAGTCCTTGCTCATAATTCCAAACAACCACCGAAATCACCACAGAAATAACAACAACAATTCAAGACCAACTGTGCAATTCAATTTTTCAACAGAGAAATCAACTTAATCATTCACATTCATCCCACTTCTGACACCATTTGTGGCGGAAACCCCCGGGCCAACCCAAGTCTGTTAGGATAAGTCTGACTCCTAGTGGGGTGAAGACAATCTTCCCAAACCAAGGCTCTTCCCTAGACGAGAGATCACTCAGAGCGACCTTCAAGGCTAAGGGTGCAGGTCCGTTTTGGTGGAAATCTACCGCCCGATTATGAATCGGAGTGTTGATTATTTATCTCTGTTCATTAATTGCACAATAAACCTGTAAACATAAACACCGGAAGCAGAATTGTCGGTAATCTCAAACAACAATGATCATAATTTATTCAACAATAATCAGGTACATTAATTAGCATGTGATTCGGTGGGTTGTTTTACTAACAGGGTCCTTAGTTACTGGAGATAGCCCGCTGCTTGCCTATGCAACAACGCACACGGCATTAAGCACTAGACAACAATGGCAGCAATGAGCAACTATGCACAGCGCCAGTAATGAATCGCTAAGTTAGCAAAACACAGCGTCACAAGCGCACAACAGCCGCTTAGCAATGTAAACAGTCCGTTAGCAGGGTACTCGCTACGCCGTGTGTGTAAGCCAGAATTCAGCCACACGTACCAGCGCAACCCCGGTACAGCTACACAGACTTTGTACACAACTCGCCTAAGCAATTACACATAAGCAGAGTACAAGTAATTTACCTACTTCCCTGCCCGCTGTCGCAGCTATACGCCCTAGCCCGCTACCTTCAGACACCCGGAACTCAACACTGAAAACAGCTGAGCCCCAAACTAGGCACACAAGTATCTCACCTAACAACGATTGTTTTCCAAGGCCAGTGGGCGTTCTAAACCCAAACCGCTAACATGTAGACGCTACGTCATGTCTACAAAACATGTGCGTGTACTAACCCTATGGTGCGCTAAACTAATGTGAGTTATTGGCCAATCACGTACGCGCAGCAGCCCACGGAGCTCGTAAGCTCCGCCCGATCACTGCACACAAGTGATTAAGCGTTAGTGCTATGGTATGACGTCACAACTAAACACTTTCCGCCACAATACTGTCCCGAACCTTAAGTTCCCCCTGGTTCTTTTGAGACCCTCAAGGACTAAAAAAGAGATTTAGTGTCTCTATGAGCAGCATTAAACTTATTCTTTTGAAGAAAAAAAATGAACCACAATGTTAAAAAAAATTGTTAACCATGCAAATGTACACGTACAATTGATCCACAGTGTTTGCTTGTCTCTTTCGGAACACCATACTCTCTGAATAGTCTCCATCGGAAATGGAATGTAAACAGTTGCTCACCTTTAACAGTGGGACAATAATTGTTTGATAGTTAGTTATTTTTTATCCCTGTGCTAATCCCCATCTATGTGTTTAGATTAGTAACACTATATTGTATTAGCACTTGATGCCAAAATCCTCAATAAAAAAAGTAATTTCAATATTTTGCCCAAATGTGGCCACAAGAATGGATCCAAAAAGTAAGAGTGGATCGCATCCACGTTTCTTTTTATTATTTTTCTTTGACTTAACTGCCAGTAAGACTGCAATATCATTACATCTCAACTTATTGCAAAACAAATACATATATTATTATATTCATCCAGGTATAGCGCCATCGACAGTCGGTTTCCATTTCAATTCAAAACATTTTTCGAAAGATATTTTATGAACATATACCACGTCAAGTTTGACCAAGATTGAAAAAAAAATGTTCATACATCTGGAAGTTGACTAACCACCTCCCAACCCAAACCCTAAAAATACCAGAACCTGGATTCAGCAGGACCGTAACTCATTCAAATGTTATTAAATGATCAATTTGCCAAGACCATACTCTCAAATTAGTTCAACAGTAGTTGGATAATCATAAATTAGGTGGTTTTTTTTTGATTTGGTGGCTTTGAATATGAACAGTAAACTGCAATGACTAAATGTGACAAATTTTTGGATAATTTTCAAAACAAATGAGTGTATATATTTCGTTTGACTGTAGCGCCCTCTACAGTTAGTTTCCATGATTAGTTGTGCTCAGGTTATGACGTTTTGTTTCTTACCCTTCCAACCCTTGTGCTAAGAAAACGCATCTAAGCTCAATCAGAGGCGGTTCCAATAAGTGGGCTCCTGAGAAAGTGTATCCCTAATTTTTACTGTTCACATCTTTTTTCCTATTGAGGACATGGCAAGGATAACAAAAAAATATATCAATGGCGGTGGGTTGGGGGGGGGGTGCACTGGGTCCCCCCATAGCCCACGGACTATAGGGGCCGTATCATAAGTCTGACGCCTCATAGGTCCGACGCCTCATAAGTCCTACGCCTTTTAAGTCGGAAAACGAGAGGTTTAATTTGTCGGACTTACGAGGCGTCGGAGCTATGAGGCGTCGGACTTATGAGGATCGGACCTATGAGGCGTCGAACTTATGGGCCTTTATTTGGTTAGGGGATACGATTTTGTCGGACTTATGAGGCGTCGGAGGCGTCTGACTTATGAGCGGACTGCGGACCATATATATATCAGTCCAGGAGACAAACCAGAAATCTGACGCTACAGCTCAAAGAATGTCTCACAAACAACATTTTGAAGTAACAAATTCGTGCACGACTATTTAACGATATTGGTATAGTATAAGCAATGTTCTATCGCAACTAGGTCTGAATTAAATAACTCTGTAGGTTTGCATGGTGGGCATGGACAGCTTGCGGTAACACAGGAAACATTAACGAACTGCAGAGCACTCTGTTCGAAACGTCGAGTTAAGATACTATTCACATGGTGTTACCGCAAAGCGTCCAAACGTTGAGTAGGTCTAAATTATAACTGCACTTAATTATTTTCAGTCAACTGAAGAAAACACAGCATACCACCAAGAGAATGTCGGCGGCAGAAGCAATCACTACAGGTGTACAGGAACTACGCATGACAGGTAACAATGGCAAAGGACTGTAAGTTAAGGTCTTAAACAATGTAGTCCGATCATCGGAGTACATGTTGATTAATTTAGGTATTGTCTTAAACATTTGTTTTTAAAGTTGTATTGCTCGCTGGTCGCTATATACCAATCATGTTAATTCTGAAAAGTGAGTAGCCTACGTATGTTTCAGCCCCATACACCGTGCGGGCATTTAGTTTTTCTTCTTACGCATGCGCAATGGCTTCATCCGCATCGTCGGCCTGCAAGCAGCGGCAGCAGACGATTGAGTCAATTATATAATTATTGAAACTATACTACAAACGTTGAGAAATAGTTATTAAAAGCGGAACGGATGCCGTTACCATTCTTATCCGACCTGAGTATTTCCCCTATTTCAGTTTGACGGCGCTTGACAAGCACGCGCTTGCGTCTCCCCGCAACGTGGAGCTCTCTGTTGCAACCTGACGACACTTCCGCGATTGTGTACAAAGTCTATGGAGAGTCACAAAAAAATTCTTAGCATCTCCTCACACCATTGAAAATATTTCTCTATCATCATTTTTCAACGACTGACCTTCATTGAGATGACATATGAAGAAAAAAAGTGGCGTCAGGTTTCAACATTTTTCCCGGCCCAATGTGAACAGAAACAACACGAGGAGACTTCCAGTGAGTGGCCAATGCGAAATAGTTTTTGATTTTTTTTCGCGCATTATCGCTTTACCAGACTTGCCTTTTCTTTTCTTTTAGAGCTGACTGATCGACGCTTGCGCCAGCTGGCTCGTGAACTTGGTCAAGAATGGAAATCATTGGCTACATTGCTCGGTTACAAAAAAGCAAAGATCTTCCAGATCGAGAATGATAATCCATGTCAGACACAAGAACAAATCTTCAGCATGCTGGTCGAGTGGAGACAACAGAATCCTTCAAGCCCTGACCAGATTGAATCACTGTCAAACCAACTGCGGGAAGTTGGCAGAGAGGATCTTGCGGATGAGTTGCTAGGTAGATGCATCTTCTAACGATATCACCACAGGGGAAATGTCTATGGCCGTATCCCTTTGGTTTCACAAAATGTACTCGACACCATTTGGAAACCAGTGGGACCAATGTGTTTGATCACTGTCTAACAATCCAAATTGCTTCATCAATACTCCAACTTACAATTTGTTTTATTTTGAAGGTTTTTTTTTACAATTTTTTAATACGAAGTTTTCAGTTAGTATGTTTTATTTCATAAGAAAACTTTTTTTTCTAATTTGGACGTTATCGACTCCTTGAAAGTACACATTTCTTCTGGATTGTTTTTGCGTGCATGAAACACATAAATAGATACGTCTGAATCATTTTTGTGCCGCGTAATGCAGAATTGGTGAAATTATTCTAAAGCTAACCTGGTCAGAATATTATTTCTTTTTGATGTCTCTTTCGAAAGTTAATCACTTCTGCATAGCTTAAAATTAAGAACAAAATCCATTTTGAGTAAAAGTTCGAAAATGGCATCGGTAAAGCAACATCAAATGAGACTAGGCCAGTCCCCAAATTCTGACACCTTAGTTCTTATGAAACATAGCACAACAGCAGTCAACAACTGTTTCTGTTGTTCTTAACACTTTTAAATCGCAAACATTAAAATATTGTTCTTGATAGGAAATTTCCAGAGGGAGGACGCGAGGAAACAACAAGGATTCGCTGAGACTATGTTCTGCGGTAGGCATAAGTCACAAAAAGATGTCTACTGTAAGACGTGTCAAGAGCTGATCTGCAAGACCTGCTCGTTAAGCAACAATCATGAATCTCACCAGTACTTCACTGTTGAAGAGGCTTCAGAAAGATATAAACAAGTCTTGAAAGATCAGTTGCCAGTCTTCAACACAGACTTGGCCAAAATAGACCAAGCTTTGATGTTTATATCTCAAGCCGAACAGACATTCAGCTCCCAACTTACGCAGGCAACGGGCGTCGTGCAAAACAGAGCTGTTCGGGCAGTAGAAGAAGTCATAGCAGAAGGGAATCGAGTAATTGATGAGCTGAAACAACGAGAAAAGGATTACCAGCAAACTTTGAACGAGAAAAGGAAAACACTGACTGAACTGCGGAGACGGAAATCTCATACGGTGGCTGTAGCCGAGTATGTCATGCAGGAAGAATCAAGCAGCGATTTCCTTGTCCGCTATACTGACATACGCAAGCAGTTCGAAAAGCTTGGTAGCGAACGTCCTCCCAAAAGCGACGTCAAACTTGTATACCCGTTGTTTCTACGGAGTCAAAATATTGGTCCTGTCAATCTTGGTGAGGTGGTTATGGAGGACACATGGGAGCTGTGTCATAAATTTGGGAAACAAGGACAAGGTGAAGGGGAGTTTGAATCAGCCAGAGGCATTGCTGCTGCCGCTGAACCTGACGAGATTGCTGTGGCTGACTGGAAGAACGAGCGAGTAGTCATCTGTGACAAACAGGGACAAATCAGGGGGTTCATTTCCGTCATTTCACGTAAGTCAATCTATTAAAACACATTTTATGTCGAGGGAAAGCCTTGTTCTTAATGTAATATGTACTTGTATTATGAACATTTTACAAACTGCAACAACATCTAAATAATGTAGTCGCATAAGTGAAAAGTAATTATTCATTTTTTGAATAATGTTTAAACCAATGTAATACACACACTGAGTGCAATACACGCACATCAATGTGAGGCCCGCGTAATACGCGTACCCGGCGAGGCGGCGGCGCCTAGACCTATCGCCTGCTTCGCAATGAGCGCTCGGTTCCTGAACGATCGACTTGAGAAACTGATGACTGAAGTACACACGCAATCCATGCACAAACCAATACATGATTTTAGTACAGCGGTGATGATATTACCTTACTCGGAAAACTGCCATTGACAATTCTATATAAAATTATCATACGGGTGAATTATTTCGTTTTCCCTTTTAATTTATCTGAACACAAATTGAATGAAAGCTATTGATGGAAAAAACATATAATTTCATTTTTTTTTTTAATTATAGGAACCCCTTTTAAGCTGATCAATATTATTTTTTTTCTCAGACGACGTAAAGGCTATGTTGGATGGGTGGGTGGTTGCGAGCAGTCCAGATGTCAAGGTATACAAACGAGACAGGACGCTAGCCTATGAGTTCAGAACAATTGATAGTGAAGCTGGTAAGACAACCATCCACGTCGTGAGTTTTGTACTCCTGAACAATGGTAACATCATAGCGGGGGATATCGCGAGGAAGGTGTTGACTGAGCATCAGCCGGGTAAAAAGGGCAAACTCATACGCACCATACCAGTGAGTTTACGACCTAACCACTTGGCTGTACTGAGCAATGGTTGGATTGTGATCAGCGACTTGGAACAGGGACTAGCGGGCATAGTGGATGTGTCTGATGGCAAAGCTGCTGAAGTCGCCACAATCCAACCTACCATCGACGGTAAACCAGGGAAACGCTGCGGTGGTGTATGCAGCAACAGCTCGGGTATCTACCTTGTGGTGAGCACAGGGTACGTCAACAGCAGTCACATTCACCACTATAACTGTGCCGGTCAGTTTGTCAGCTGTGTGGCCCAGGGGCTGTACAACCCCCAAGGAATCACATTCACGGTAGATGGGCAGCAGCTGGCAGTGGCTGACCGTCACTCAGTAAAGATATATCACAAGGTGTGATGTCATTCAGCATGACGCTGACTTACATATCACCTTCTGGATGTGAACAGACTGTTGAAGACGGTCTATGATTGTACAAGTCCATTTTTTTTTGATCGTTTCCTTCTATTTTTTTATTTTTTTTTTACCCTTCAATCAGCTCAAAAGCCTGAAGCAAATGAAGAAAGAAACAAGATCGGACCTAGAGGCCGGTATAAACACGGACAAGAAAGTTCTGCGGAAACCCCAGTATAATAAGATAATGTTGAAACCTTATAATAAACCACATAATAATGATAAAAATAGTGGCCTCTCAACAGCGCTAAGGTCCGTCACGCAGTGACGCTTTTGGCGCTACACAACAAATTAAAGCCTGGGCGGGATTGAACCCGGCTCACATAGGTGCCAGGTCAGGAAAGTAGCACTTCATCAATCTGACTCGCATTCACTTGCAGGTGTATCGATCGATCTTGTATTATCAATCTTACAAAGCGATACAATATGAGTAATACAACGCATCAACTCTGATTATTCTTGTTATCTGTATGGTGGTTTTGTGCCCTTTACTCACTAATATTATTGTTAGGTTGTTTTGTGTGTGTTTATTTCCACTTATTTTTTGGCCTTGCTTTTGCGAGTTTTTATCAACTTGTTTAGTTAATTAAGAACATTTTCCTTCACCATTCATATTTAATGAGAAATTGACAATCTCTTTCACTGAATCATGTTTACCTTAGAAAAGGAGTCAATATGTGACGTAGATATTCGTACCAAACTTTGAACATATTTGTCATAGTTTGCTTAAGTGTAGAGTTGTTCAATCTGATTAGAATCGATCATAAACACCGCTTTACAAATAAACGATTTTCGCTTGTTCATAGCATGCAATGTGCCAAGAATGGAACATCGAATTTGTTCAATAGATTTTGCTAATAAGAATGTCACTTCAATATCCGTTATCACGAAGTTCGTTGTGAACGGACTGCACAGAGTTATTCACGGGTTAGTTACAATCTTGTATATATTGCTGATTAGTTCACGTTTGTTTTCATGTATCTCTTAACCCACCCATTCTAAAGTTGAAATTGAATGATGCATAGTGTATGTTCTTCCAATTACGCTTGAATTCACCCCGTTGCTTGACTAAAATATTACAATTTGTTGATTGTACTAAGAATATGTATGATTGTGCCTAATTATTAGTGAAACTAATAATTATTATTAATTAGTATTTTATTTTATTATTATTACATGTATTATTGGTATTTCTTTTTGCTTTTGCTGTATTCGTTTGTTGTTTTAATATTCCCGCCTAACTTTCAGAATTGTCCTTGTTGAAACTGGATTAATTTGATGGATCTATCTTTACAATTTACACCTTGCACGTTGAAACTGCTGTGGAATTAAAATAATAGTTTTTACTCGTTTTGATACTTGCGATAGGTGGATGGCGTATATAATTAAATACATGAACTTAATTTGGCGTCTTGTAATTATATAAAGCATAGTTGTGGAGTGAATGAATAACATTAATTGACAGTAAGCTGATATCTAGCCACGGAGATAGAATTAGATGATCTATCATCTCGTCAACCGAATTAAGAAATCAGCTGCCATGACATTCGACTTAATAATTGATGCATGGCCATGATTGAAGCGATTTGTGCCTCAGATTGATGGTTAGCAAAAAGAAATGTTTCAAATAAGTTACTAGTTGCTAGTTGCTCGTTGCTTGTTTCTAGCCAGCCGAAATAACGCATTAACATGAATTAATCCTGAGATTTGATTATGTATTGCTTTGCAATGATGTCAATTATTTTGCTGTTAGTGTCGTATTGTGATGAAGTGCTGCATGTCTAGTTCTATATGGGAATGTTCGGGGTTTTTTTTTTGGGGGGGGGGGGTTATTGGGGGAGAAGTCGAAACAAAGACCTCTGCAAGGGCGGATCAAGAACACAACTTTTTTTTTTTTAGTTTTTGGGGGGAGCAAACAACATTTTGTCCCCAAAAGAGCTGGTCCAAAAATACAGCGTGGGGTTCGGGGCCCGCTTAATGTCCCCGAAAATTCATTTGGATTCTAGTGCTCTGTAGTTCGATGTGAGGCAGTTTCTGACCACTTTAACTAATTCTCTTTGAGAAAAAGATGGTTGTGTACACAGTGCCCGCCTTTATTGCGACGCCACTTAAAAGGGGGGGGGGGGTCGTTTTTGGGGAGGGGAGCAATGCCCCCCCCCCCCCCCGTATCCGCCCTTGGACCTCTGTATCACCTAAGAGCATTGTTTTGAACGGAGTGCAAGTTGGAATCCACGAATATTTCGTCAAAAATCACTCACTGCACGACGTCTAAATAGTAGGGAAGGTACCCGCCACCGGGCGCAGCATAAACACAATGACCTTTTTTAAAGCTCGGCTCCGTTTCCGTTCTGGGATTTATCGTTAAAAGCTTTTAATGTTCCAATCAAATTAAAAAATCAAAATCACTTGCTTCATATAGTTTGATAATTCTGTAAGAAAACAATGACAAATGTTGAGCTAGAATCGTATCAAATGTTGAGCTGGAATCTTCAAAGTAAGGGACCCAAAGAGCACGCGAGGCCAAAATGGGCTCAGAATAAACATGATGACCTTCTTTGTTTTTAAAGCTCGGCTCCGTTTCCGGTTTTATCGTTAAAAGCTTTTAATGTTTCGATCAAATAACAAGAAATAAAAAAAAATCACTTGCTTCCGACAGTTTGATATTTCTGAAAAAAAAATTAACTGGTGTTGAGCTGGAATCTTCAAAGTTAGGGACTCAAATAGCAGGCGAAGTGCAAATGGAGACGACACCGTGTTTTGTAACTGTCGTCTAATTCAAAGTAGTAAATGACGCAGCAAAGCTTTCCCCTCGTATGCGGTCCGAGTGCATTGCGTGATGCACATTTCGTCACTGAATTTCAAATGCAAGCAATGAATATTATTTCTCAAATAATTTTTTTTTTTTTTTTTTTTTAATAAGCATGACAGGTAAATAAAACCTATTTTATACCCGCAAATACCCAGGCGGTATCCTCAATTGTCGACGAAATGACTTCGGCAACTTTCAGACATCTTATCCAAAAAATCTAATGAAAAACGTATTTTGGTCTGAGAACATACAAATCGCGTTAACGCCAATCGATAAAGTTCTTTTCTCGTATTCAGTGACATTCGCGTTATATCACGAACCACAAATCCAGTGAGTGCACGGACATCGGTGAACAAGAGTTGTGGCAAAGAAGGGCGCCATCAATGTGATGGCAATGACGTCACACAAAAGCCTTATGTGCAAATTATCAATTGTAAAGGAATAGCATTGATCATAGTTATAAAGCCATTGTCTGGTCTTGATTCAATGTGTTTGAATTTTGAATTACAAAGTGAAATAGTTAATTACTGCATTTTATAAGGAGTCGAATCTCGAAAGCCACTATAAGCATTTCAATCATGACATTGATTGCATCCTGTCAAACAGAAATAACAGTCAATTACTCTTTTCAATTTTTAGGATCCACAAATGTATCAAATGAAATGAACTTTAGGAACAGATGCCCTTTAAGTGTTATCGTCCATGCATGGAGAGCGCCACCAGAATATAATGTGCGAAATCTATCAGATTGTAGGCCTATATGTCTCCATAGCGTTACTTTCAGATCACGTAATCCCATCCACGACATCCAGCTATTAACAATGTTGTTGGTTTCCAAAATGTAATAATTTTGAGAAGTGCATAGTAACAGAGTATGATACGACATAACGGCATTGCTTTATTTGTCAGACTTCTCTTTCTTCCATGTCTAACTGAAATACATAATTATTCTTTGTTATAATTGTCAGACTTCCCTCACAAACATACTGAAGAAAATAATAATTCAGCTACACCAATGCCATTTTGTACATGTTACATAGTGGTCCTGCTTTACAACACGCGCATGCAGTCATCATATATATGTCCCGTGCTCTTTCAAATACAAGTGTTTTTTTTAATGCATTGTTGCTTTCATTTTTAACTCAATTGAATGAATTGTCATCGATTACTTCAAATATATGTATTACCATCCGTTTTTTGCAACTCCTTTTAATATTTTTATACTGTTATCACTTCTCTCCAAATTTATTTTCTTTTATGTGATTTGTTTTTATTATGTTTATTTCTGTAACAAAATTTTTGCTATCTTGTTTTTTTTTAGATAGTGTATTTTTTTTCTTACTTTTTTGTTCTGTTTTCTTTTGTTCAGTTTTGTTCTGTTCTGCTTGGTTTGAATTTTTGTTTTTTGTTTTGTTTTGCTCTGTCCTGCTCTGTGTGTTTTTGTTTTACTTTGTTTTCCTTGTCTTGTCTTGTTTTTGTTTTGTTTAGTAACGTTTGTTGTTTTGTTTTACTCTCCTTTTTTCTCTTCTTTTTTGTTTTGTTGTTGTTTTGTATTTGTCTCAAGTATATGTGCGTTGTGTCTTCTGGTTTTTTTTTATCCATTACTTTTTAGCATTTTATACATCTATGTATGCATATCCAATGAAATCGTCTATCACAATTCACAGTGCTCGTTTCATCCCTAAATACATATAATTTGTTTTTAGTTTGTTTTTATAAAATCAACATATATTTTTTTATAATGATTCTTTTTGATCATATTTGTGTATATATATATTTTTTAATAATTGTATAATATTTTTTGACCAGTCCTGTAATTGGCTGTTTGTTCTGCTGTTGGATGTGGATAATAAATAAATAAATAAATATAAGAGCCAGCGTATATTGACTCTTGCCTAGTTTCCTCAATCATAGTCACACACGCCTGAGTCGCACAATTTGCACGGTAGGTGTCAGCACAATATCTGCTCATGACCTATTAGTGGCCTATAGTTTCGGTATTTTGCAAGCTTTTGTTGAGCATCGGGCTGTACTCGTCGGTCTGTGAACAACTAACTGTTGTTAGGCGGAACTGAATAAATATACACTGCAGTTGATGGAATCAACGCTGTGTGCGCACTTTGGGTACAAAACCCAG